GTCCACCTGTCCACCTGTCCACCTGTCCATCTACAGTTTTATAGTTGTTCAGGTGCAACACCCCGCAATCTTCCTTGGTCAGCAGGGCTACCGAAGTCTGTTGGCAAGGTGCGTCTGCGCCTGTGCCTGCGCCTTTTCGTGATGTTAGAAAAGGCTATAAAGACACAAACCGTCTCCAAACACGCCTTAGTATAACTTTTGTCTGCGAATTCTGCCACGGGTCACGGGTGGCAAGTCACGGGTCGCAGGTCACGGGTGGCAAGTCCACTATTTTAACCTCGCCTTGCTGCCCTGACGGCTCTCTCCTGTTGCGCCCAGTTTCCGTGCCGCATTTGTCTTGAACATAAATCCGGGTGAGCTGTCCCTTATCTTTCTCCTCTGCACAGTCATGGACGGCGATGGACCCCCTCAGGCGGCAACGGCATACGCACACACCACTAGCAGCCCGTGTTAACAATAACAGCGCGTCGGACCCCGCGTGTCCTATCGCTGGGGAGCTCTCCCAATCTGCTGTGTAAGAGATTCGATCAATCAATCTCCCAACAGCTCCTGTACAGTTAACCGCCCGCACACACAAATTGTTTGTGACTTCAGTAATAGTTTCCTTCCTTAGTTTCCTTAGTTTCCTTCCTTCCAGATAGGCATTCAAATTCATTCATGGTCCGGCGCAGGGTTTGCTAAGCTAATTCGTTTTTGCGTGGGCTGGCGGCTGATGACGCTGCTACGGACTTCGCCCTTCGCGCCCTTGCTGCCGCCCGCCACGTGTCCATTTTGCAGGTCGGTACTCTGAAGTAACGGGAGCAGCAGCAGCGGCGGCGGCGGCGGAGGTGACGGCAGACGTGCCTCGCTCTCATTCTGGGAACCAGCATGCAATCCTTTGCCGTCCTGACAAGCGGTGGCTGGATGTTACATAATGTAGGTTTGGTGTGCTGTACGGGCAAGAATCATGCTGTTGGGCATGTTCCGGTATGTGCATGTATGTTGTTACAGGGTGGTTAACTTCACCAACGGCCCCCTTTCCCGAGGCAGTTTCCTGCTCTTTCCTGCTAGAGGGGCACCCTCATCCGTTCACCCCATCCGACTTCAGAATGTATTCGTTGGGTTCGGCAACTCACCACCAGCATCCAACCAAATCTAGCGGATCAACGGCGCATCAACTTAGTTCCTGGTCAGCTCGCAAGTTGATATGTATGTATGTATGCATGTACAAGACGTATAAGATGTATATGAGGCACACCCTGCCCTGCACATGATCTGCTCTGTGAACAACGGATATGGCGTCGAGGTTTTGCATGGTATGAATCGTCTGTTGTGGTGCTGTACATCAAACCCGAAAGTTACAAACGTTGCATGACCGCACAAACCAAGTAAGCTGTATGGGCCGAACAAAGACAGACCGAGCGAAACTACCTGGTGATGTAACGAACATAAGCAACCTTGCAACCCTCACCCAACTAGAAATAACGGGGTAGGCGCGTAGGGTGAAATGAAAAGATCGGAGGGGGAGGGAGCAAGCCAACGATGCAGGGATGAGGTCGGGGTGGAGTTATCGTACTTGTGCCAAATGTGGAACCGAAACCAGGTGGTGATGATAAATGAATGTGTGTCCAATCGCATTCAACGTTGTCTAACGACACATGGCCCCTTTCCCATCCACCTATTTGTGCGCGCAGATCTTGAAAGGGGGTCATGGCTTCGCCATCGATGCCGCCGTACGATTGGATGAGAGATTCTGCACGCTGAAAGAAGCCAAGGCGTACGCATGCAGCGAGGAGGGCACGGGAAGGTGTGTATTGTACCCCTTTCCTTCAATGGCTTTCTGTCTAGGCGAGACGAAGACGTGGTGGGTTTGCTGGGTTGCGTGGGATGCCGCGGGCAACGAAATCGGCTGCGGAGGATACGGCTTTGCACAAGCCACTGCGCGCCGCAATGGCATTCGTTGGCTAGCCGGAAACGGCTTGGTTTGAGAGGTGCGGCGGATGGTTCACGGGGGCCACGGATGAATGCTGTTTATAATATTAGGTGGCATATGAAATATGGCAGACTCCCTTCCATTGACCCACGCGTCAGCCTGCCTTAGGGGCTGTGGTACTGGAGAGTGTTGTGTTGCTCATCTTGTTGTTAGGTTGCCGTCCTACTCCTCATCTACTTTGCTGGCTTTTTTGGATGCCCGGCCTGTGAGTGGGCGGAGAGTCGGGCGTTAAACAGGAGACGAGGGGCATTGGTTCTCCGTGAGAGCGCGTTATGGGTAATACCTATGTTGTTATGATGGAAGGGCGGCCCCCTATGGCTGTATAGCTTTTTTCTCTGGGAGGTTTCGGAGACCAGGACCAGCGCGTCATGATGCTCTTGCATGTCGATCCCAAGCGAGCAGCGACACATAACGGCCGATAACGGCCGATAACGGTATTTCGGTAGAATGGCGGGCAGTTGGACGTTTGGATCACGGTTGGACCCCAACCAACCCATGTATAAATAAAGCACCTTGGGAGGAGAAACAAACCTGGCGGCCAAAGCAGACTGAAATGTACGGACGGATGGACCCCACGTGTCGTCAAGTCAAAGCAAACCACAACCAAACCAGCCAGCCGGCGATACTCCCGACAACAGCTCGAGAGAGCACCGTTCAACCACAGACCCCCGCCCGGGGAGGGAGGGAAGGTGCGGGCGGGGCGGGGAGGAGGCGGTACTGCGAGCCATCGGACAACACATGACGTAGCCTTCTGTAGACAGACAGGCAGACAGACAGATGGTGAGGAAGCTCCCCTAGTCTTTTAACTGTTCACGTAGCAGTCCTAATCAAGCAAGCAAAACTCCTCCCATATTTCACACGGACAGCTGCCACCGGCCACACAGCGTATATGGACCCGGTGTACGGCAGTACGACCGCGGAGTTGAAAGATCAGATGACGCTTGATGTGCCATAGGCCCCACGAAGCCTCCCCAGCCGTCAAGATGCGAGCATAGCCTCCCTCCGCCTACTAGGCTCCTCATCCGCCTCCGCCTCCTCAGCTGCCGCTGCCGCCGCCGCGGGCTGCTCCACCTGCTGCGGCACCTGGGGACATTGGACAGGGCGTGTGGTGGGGTGTGGACGTTGCGATGAAGTTAGGTGTGTTAGGTCGACCGTCGTGGTGAAGGGTAGGGCGGCCCGTACCCCTCCCTTTCCCCCCTTCCCCTCCCTTCCCCCCTCACTCCCTGTCGGAAGGGTAGTGCACTGCTTCCTCCCTCCTGCTGCTGCCTCCGTACGCTCCGAAACCATACACATATTATATATTATAATATATTGTATATATGGGTTACAAGGGTTGCCAACACAACGAACCCTGTCTTGAATGCTTTGACGTCCTCGTCCCTGCGGGGCCCGGGTCCGGTGCCAGCCGCCCCTCCTCCCCCCAACTGGGGGCCCCTAACCCCCCGGGCCGCCCGCCCTCCGTTTTGGAAAAGGCCTCCGCGGTTCGGACTCGCAGCACCAGATGCCGGTCCTTTCTTGAGAAGGTGCCGTACATGTCGCCGCAGTTGCCTCCCCTCCTCCCCCTCCCCATCCTTCTCCCC